TATTGCAACATGTTACGAAGCATTGTTAGCGACCTGTAGCTAACAAGACAAAGGAACCATGAGCCGCCCAGTCCTCAGCTTTCTCCGCCCATACCTTCACCAGGCTAGTCGCTCCGTTAAACCGGAACATGCTCGAGCGTACCTCGCTATTCAGCGGCGCTTTGCTCAGAGCCTAGCCGCCGATGCATACACCGGCCCGCATGACGTCGAGAAGCAGAAGCGCCTGGAGCATTTGGGCAAGGTAAAGCCGTTGGGCGATTACCACCCCAGGTTGGTTCACTCTGCGGATGCTCAGAACTTGTCGATACGCGACTTCAACGCCAAGTACGATGGCATCCAGGAGACGAAGGAGGACCTCGTGTCTGTGTTTGGTAGGGTGCACCACCCATGAGCATCAGTCTGGTTCTGACAATGTCAGGAAGGGTGCGCTCAGTGCGGCTGCTCGGCTCCAAGTTGATGTTCCTCGATATCGAACGCGACACCCAGCGATTGCAGGTCATGGTGGAGCTCAAGAAGCTCACGTCGCAAGATGACTTAGATGAGAGCTTCAAGAGTTTCAAGAAGGTCGCCAGAATTGGCGATTGGGTGTGTAAGTAGATAAATCATTTAGCTTCAGATCAGACTCTGATTCCGCATAGCTATCAAAGGCAACCCTACGAAGACATCTACTGGACAACTCTCTGTCCTTGCTCTTGATGTACCTCAAATCCTTGCGCCATGCCTTCACCACCTCCCAGAGAGGATTGACGATGCCGAGACACTTGCCCGACGACCCCACATCCACGCGCTCACGAGCGACGAGCCTGGCGATGTTCTTCGATTGCGAGCGCTGATCTACGACTACGTGCGCACATACTTTATACAAAGTGGGTTTCTGGAAGTGGAGACTCCCATGTTCGACGTCAACGCTGGAGGTGCCATTGCGCGACCCTTCGAGACTGTCGCAAATGAAGTGTCCAACACCCCTGTACGGCTTAGGATAGCACCTGAGCTCAATCTCAAGCGGCTGATTGTTGGAGGACAAGACAAGATCTTCGAGATCGGACGCGCCTTCAGAAACGAGGGTGTCGACAATACGCATAACCCAGAGTTCTCGACTTGCGAGTTCTACGAAGTTGGCGCGACACTACCCACTGTCGTCGCCAGGACAGAGCAACTGGTACATGGACTCCATACTGCGATCGAGTCGCTAAGGCCGACGTACTTCCCTACCCTAGCGGCGCCGGAAGACATCGACTTCGCACAGCCCTTCGCTCGGCTTCCCTTCATATCCACCATCGAGCAAGCCTGCAGTCGCAAGCTGCCTGATCTGTTAGCACCGAACGCTTCCAAGGAGCTGCTTCAGCTGTTTGACGACCTGGAACTCCCCGTTCCGCCCAACCCCACACTTCCACGTCTTCTCGACACTCTTGCTGAGATATACATCGAGCCGCTCTGCAAGAATCCCACTTTCATCACGCAGCATCCTGAAGCGCTCTCTCCACTCTCAAAGTCGTATCTTGACGAGGCTACTGGACAACGCGTTGCATCTCGCGTGGAACTGTTTATCCATGGCCGCGAATACGTCAACGCATACGAAGAGGAAAATTCTCCGTTTGAACAGCGTCGCAAGTTCATGCAGCAGCGTGGTTTCCATCCTGACGGTGAAGGCGCTATTGACGAAAGTTATCTCGAGGCGCTGGAGTGGGGTATGCCTCCCACTGGTGGCTGGGGTTGTGGGTTGGATAGGTTGGTGATGCTGTTCGCCAGTAAGAAGAGGATAGCAGACGTGCTGCCTTTCGGTACATTGCGAAACGTTGTTAGCATTTCCAAGACGAAGTGAAGTGCTTCGCTCTTCAATAGAGGAACCATTCGTGCAGCTCTCTCCCACCACTGAGATGACAGGAACCGTGACGCTTGCCGCCTGCCGCTTACATTCTGCTATGCTCTTCTTGGTACACTGTGCAAAGTGATGTGAATCTGTATCAGTACATTGCAATGTATTTGATATAATGTTGCTCTTTTGATGCAAGACGAATCGTCCAGCTTCGCAGTTTTGGGGCCTGGTACGCTTAGACCCGAACATAGGGCACACGCCCACCCACGCGTACCCACAATCGCACATCGTCCCCCGCTACTCAATGATGCAGTGGATGCAGGAAACACCCAAGGGTCGTGTCGTTTTGCTCCATCGTTACAGTGGATGAGGGACGCCCTCAAGTATAGCCAGCCGCCGTCAGCATGGCTTGAGGCGTTGTTTCAGGCGCCCAGCAGCCCGCGGCTGCAGTCAACAGGCACCCGCTCCTTCACACGCTCGCCCTTTCCGCTTGCATCACAAACATCGCGTAGTCTGCTTCTTACTAAGACATACTCTGTTTCTGTCGATCATTCTCATTGAGATCTTCCCCAAAGGTTCCCGTTTTCTGGGGTAATGCGCGTTGCGCATAGCGCGTACTGTACAACAACGCCCCGTGTTGATTAACATGTTTTGGGATGGGGCGAAATCTTGCAGATCTTCCTATACTTGAAGACGTCAGCCCTACTCCCTACTGCGCTGCTCATCCCAAGACGTCAGCTTAGCAGGAAATACCATGTCGTCGCCGATTCCTAATCCCCAGTGGCAGGGCTGGGAGACACATCGGCGCGAGCAGTCGCCGCCGCAACAGCCAGCGTACCCATACAACCGATACTCGCAGGCCTCTTCGCCCAACCACTCATACTATGGACATTATGCACCTGCCCCAGGATCATATATACAACCACACTACAGCGAAAATGCGCCAGTACCTTTTATCGCAGAGCTACCAGCGCCTTTGCCTCCAGCTCCACCAACTACGACGTCTGAGGAGCAGTTGAAGCAAGATGAGCTGCTCGCGCATAAGATGCAGCATTTGGAGGTGGAAGGGGTTCGAAAGAGATCGCTTAGTGCAGTAAGCCAACATGAACGCCCTGCCAGTATGATGCCGCCCAGCTCCCTGCGTCTGTCACCACTCCTACATCAACAGCGATCGGCGCAAGCTTTGCGGTTACATTCAAAAAGCGTTTCATCCTTCGTCGACCAGAGACCAGTAAGCATGGCGCCAGTGACCACCCAGCTTGCGCCTCTACCTCTGGCTCATCAACGCTCTGCACAATCGCTTCGACCTCATTCGAGAAGTGTCGGAGCGGCCGCCGGACCATGGAGTCCTGGATCGTTCGAACAAGCGCGAGATCCAAATCTATTCAGCACCTTACCAGAAGTGGTAATAGAGCAGCATCCGGATAAAGATCTCGAGTCACCGCTTGAGAATTTACCAATTCCAGTCTTGCTGGATCAACAGCCCACGGAACGGCTACAACAGCCTATTAGACGCCCATCAGTCGCACTAGAATCAATGTCGTTGCCAGGGTATCTCGAGCAGTACCGCCAAGCACCGTATCCGCCTCAGTGGAACCTTCCACCCGTTGTTTCTACACTGCATGCTTACCAGGAAAGCAAACGGTCATCCGGGTCCAGCTGGCTGGACACGCCAGAGTCGTGTGCATGGCGAACAATACGCCCCTCTGAACATGCACGTAATCCTGTCCCACCGGCGTTTACATTCAAATTCAAAAGCACGACTGGCAGCTTCCGTAGTCCCAAATTCTCGTGGACAATGACATGCCCCGAGGAGCCGACAGAGTCAGGAAAGAAGGTACCGAAATCACAGCAGACCGCATGGTCTTACGAATTAAAGCTGGACCCCAGGACGAATCTACGAAAGTCGGAAGTTTTACTCCAAGGTGGCCCAAACGCAAGATCCATTCTGACAACTTACGTGCATGCGCTCAATTACGACTCACTGCGCTTCATCGGTCCGGACGGACGTGCATATATGTGGGTTACAAGCACCAAGGTTTCCTCTATCCACGGTTCACGCTACGACACGCTGAGACATGCGCTCTTCGCCGCGATAGGGAACAATCCTGATCCGCTGTATGGTGGTATCGTGGCAGATCACTGCTTCTGGGATGGCCATGTCGATGCAAGCGGAGGTTATGCCCCTGATGAATCTGTCTACATACGTCAGACGACTGTGGACCCGGCACTTGTCGTAGCAACGTTACAAGTGATGAAAGAATGGGAAAAGCATACACTCAGACAAGAGAAAAGGAAGAACTACAAAGCCTTTTCTGCAGCTGAAGAAGAAGCCCGGAGATGTGAACTTGGAGCCTCCAGCTATTGGCAAACGTGAGAGGTCTTACAACACCAAGCGCGCAAAGTTGAGTCTAACTCATCAACACCTGGCATCAAATTGGTGGAGATTCGCTAAGAAGTTACCGCGACGCGTCAGTGTGGGAAGACTTTGCTAGCCGTATGCTTGGCTCCAGCCATGTTTTGCATTTGATCTGCGCTGGCGTGTAAATACCTCGTGCCGCTTGTTGAGCGTTGTGCGACTATGGCTGCCCCAAACTGGAAGCTGCACCAGGACGTGGAAGGACACACTAGCACTACCGTATCTACTCTACTACATGACAAGATAACCACAAACCCCGCTGGGGACGGTTCGAATGAGCGGCTCGATGCGCTCGTTCGTGTTGTTGTCTTTGCCGAGAGCTTCTATATCAAAATTGGCATTGCGGATGCGGAGCCCTCCGGCCGAAAGGCGACCGTCAAGGCTGGTTTTCGAGCATGAATATCGATTGCGCATCGAAATATGTTTAACTTGCTTGTATCCATACGTCGGTTTGTCGTCCGCACCAAGATAGCTAAGAGTTTCGCAAAACAATGTTGTAGTACTAATAACAACGACCCTGGTATTTCACACTGCACTTTTGAAGACTACACAACGTACATCCTCAACGGAAGTATACGAGATCCTCCTATGTCTACGTCTAGTCCTTTATCACTCTGAGACGCGAGAGTTTGCTCAGCCCCTGGACGCCATCAGCACCCTTGCGCCCAGATTACTATCCTGCAACTGATTCCGGTGATCAGTGAAAGCAGGAGCTCGAATTTAGTTCCGCGTCGATATCCTGTTGTATAAGTCAGATCCCATACTATGAGTTCTTCGGCTACGCCTCAAGATGTACGAGCCTCTGGTAGACGGCTAACTCCTCCTCGGTTCGAAGAATTTGAACTGCCTTCGACCTTTGAGTCACTTACACCTTTGCCTCGATTTTCCTCTGCATCCGTCATAGAGGAAACAGAGAATGGAAACGCCTACCTGGATGTCTTTGCAGAAGTTACCGACGCTGACGAAGTCTTTGCCGAGCAGTGGGAATCTGTAGCAACCGGGCAGTCTACAACGCCTCTGCTGAAGCGCATCGGTTCCTTCGATTTCGTTACAGGAGGAGTCAATGAGTCATCATCGATACCAAAGACCCGGACAATGTCGACTATCACTACATTGGAGCCAGTCGAAGAGGACAAGCAGCCGGCCTGCGCTTCTTTCTGCAGGGCTCCTGCGTATGTGGAGCTGCTCTTCGATGCAGAGACTCCTTATGCCAGCGACGAAGATCTAGCCAACCGCAGTATGTTTACTACTGGCTCTTTACTTGAGATAGCGACGTATCCGCTGATACATCGTCAGGAACGTTTGCTGGCTCCAGATCTGCTCGATACCAGTGATCTAAAACTTCAACCGTCCCTGGCGATGCATGAACTACACGATGATGGATCACTTGCGTTGGACCCCGACGCCGCCCCGGTTTTTCCAGAAGATCGATATACCACTCCTGAGCTCACATGTAGCCGTCCAGGTCGGTCTTTGACACACCCATCCCTGTCGGCCACGGAGGGAGACGTAGCTACTCAGGAGCGCTGGCAACTCGAGCACGACCCCGTCCTCCGATATGCTACTAATGATCTATTTCTTCCGGGACGAGATTCTCTTCGTAACATCACCACCTGCTCTTTAATTGTCGAATACGACCGCGATATCGAAGACCTCTATCGCGCAACTGCTTGCTTCCTTGGCGATTGCCATGATGGCGAGTGTACCTGTTTAGACAACAAGAGAGGTACTCGCTGTGTGCCAGGAGAAAATTTCGTTCTCGCTGACAAGTATGATGACTTCGATCTATCGTTGAGGTATCCCACGGCAAAAGACATTTTTGAGCTCATAGACGAGCTTGTTGATGTGGACATGTTCGACATGGAAGAAGGCTCTGGAAACAGCACGAAAGAATCACAGGTCCTTCTAGACACTTCCTTTACCACTTCACCAGATATGGACGCCTCTGTCGCATGCGGCCCGCTGCTGTACTCACCCACTTTGGACGATGTCTCAGATTTCTGTGACAGCGACGATGTCTCAGAGACATCGGAGACAAACGACAAACCAGGTTTGTCACCACCTCGGTACTCTGAAATAGCATATGTCGATGCTGAAACGCACAAATGCGTCGCGTATACCGCTTTGAACCAATTATTATCGATGCAAGAAGACCGACCGCGTCCGGTGATTCACCGAGACATCCCCAGTGATGAGGATTACGACTCAGCTGAGCTGAAGGAACACAGCTGTCTCAATCTAGAAGATCAAGGCCGCAAGTCCCGGCTATCGCTACGAGATGACCCTTGTCCGAGCAGATTCTGGTCTGACTTCACATCAGGTATTGGCCAACCACCAGCACCGCCACAGCCCAATCTTCAAAGCCAATCAGCTGTGCGCCAACAGTGTCTACCGTTTGGGCTGTACTCCAGCAATGTGTCTCACCGCCAACGTCGCTTTCCACGGCTGACACTTGCTACTCAGCTCGTGCCTGCATCTGAGCCTTTGTCCACGGTCGACGAGGAACAGCTGTCTTGGCCCAGCCCGTCTTCCTCAGAGGACTCTATCGGCTTTGCTGATTACCGGAGGTTTGCGAAACCCCTTGAGGAGCGCCAACAAGGGTTCTCAGATGACGAAGACGAAGAAGGAGGGACCTACGTTGAACATGGCTTAGAGGCGCCAACGATGCCGAGCTTACCTCCACACCTGACATGCGAGGATATGTTCACTGATGTTGTTTGGGACAGCGCACCCGATCTCACACTCACTCAGCCTCATTGCGAACCACATGCAGCAGCTACAATAACGTCGCGTATACCTTCAGCCCCACTTCTCGAAGCGTTCGAGACTGAAGTTCATAATCGTCTCACGTTCATCTTCAGCTGCATGAACGATGGACGCTATGATGAGCTCCCAGTTTTGTGCAATGACCTTCACTGGACCTTGTGCGCTCTCGCGCATGATTATCCAGCTATGGCAGTATTGGACAGCCTAGGAGCAGCTGTAGAGATCCTAGCTGAGCGGATAATAGCCTCGACGCCTGCTTCGTAACTTGACGCCCTAGAGCGTACGTTGACCTTAGATTACTTACTTTGCATATTTTAATCTTAATGTAAGCAGCAGACCTGCTAGGAGTTTCCTTGAACGAGATGGATGCGGACGACAGACAGAATGAAGCTGATGTAGGTGCTAAGAGTAGCTGATCTGAGCGCCGCCCACCTTTAGTGAATCTTATCAAGTCAACCGTTACTGCCTCCTTTGTGATCAATAAGGACTGCAAAGTTGGAGAAGTATCTGTGCCCCGTGTATTCGGCATGCTGCAACGGTAGTGACTGTTCTCCGAAATTAGCGAGTATGCTGTAGCCTCAGGCTGTTGCTTCTGCCTCTTGCGGGGACACCGGACCCGTCGTCATCGCTACCAGCCCAAGTCCTGATAGTGCCAAGCTGCCAAACCAAGCCCTGTACTGAGCCCAACATGCGTTAATCTCACAGCTTCGCTGCACCTGGAGATAATAGTGCAGGTTTTACAATGCCTTTATCGCATTCCTGCTCTAGTGTGGTGACAGTCTGGCTGTAGTTCCCTCGTGGGAGCTGGGTACTAACGGCCTGTTGCTGTGCGCTGGACAGTATCGAGACCTGGATCTAGAGCGATAGCCTAGTGTGGCTGGACCGCCATCCGATGCTAATAATGGCACTCTTCGGTGGAATGACCATGCTGATGCTCGTATCAGCAAAATATCGCATGACAGTGCGCTGAGTTGACAATGATCACGACATTTTACCCACGCCATGACGAAAACTGCGTCAGACCATATTCCTCTTGCGAACTCGGTGAAGGTACGCTGGTATGAACATCCGGTTTGAGCTTGTGATCAGCAGGAAGTTCTCTTCCAACTTCGGTATGGATACAGATGGCTGTCTGGGTGAATCCGCTGTTTCGCCAAAATATTATTGCGAATTTGCATTCGTTGAGATGAAGCTAGTCCTTCAAGCCATAAGACGAAGTCAAACGTAAATGACAGCGGCCGTGTTTGCGAACGGCTTATACGGCATCGCTGAGGCGCCAGACAAGATCCGCCGGTGCATTCGAATGTTCTGGTAACAGAAGTACCGAAATCTTGATCGTGCTCCCAGCTCAATCAAGGGACAACCGAAAACTCTGGGGCCTACATTGACGCCAGATTTTCCGATTCGTTCGTTTTAGCATAGTGTAGTCTGCAGATCTGTGCAGGGTTTTGTTGTCTGAGGTACTCTGCTTGCTATGATCTGTGAGAAGCTTGAGAGAATAAGCTTCCACCAGATTCAACAAAGAGCGGAGGCAAGTCGAGTTGTGGGCACAATCAGCACTACTTCGATGTGTGATGCATGTGGCTGATATGCTATATAGCCGAGCTTTCCTAATAGCCCGGTATATTCCTGGAGGTAGTGATCCTAGTGGCTGTCGTTTGGAAAATACGAGTAGCGTGGTGGAGGGGGGAGGCATTCGCCCAACCCAACGCTTGCATCTCGTGTCAGTGCGCACACGGCTCTACTCGCGCAGAGTACTGCAGGTTCAGTCACATAGCTTCCTGGGACGCGGCATAGAACGTTTTCTGCCGCATTCGCCAGTGGGCATGACGGACGATGCTCATATGCATAGAGACTTGGGTCAGCGGTGCAACGTTCATGCCAGGTCGGACGCCACAGACCATCAGCGCATCCATGGATTGCTTGTTCTTCGCGTAGGTAACCCTGGAGGGTAAAGCCGACATCTCGTAACTGCAAGTCAGCATATGTGGCGTCGCTGGCGATGGAGTAAGGAAGTATTGACTGCGCAATGAGGAAAGGCGATAATACAATACTCATCCGAATCACCGAGGGTCTGTTATCAAAGACCCGATTAGGTATAGCCTCCACGGTGGCTGGTAGTAGACATCTGGAAAATTCAGGCTCCGGCTCGTGGGTCGCCCGAGGCTACGGCCCTGGTGGATCTTCAGGAACGTGGCCGGCTATCTTTGGGAGCGGAACGTGGGTAGTGTAGCAACACCGGCAGTGTCTCCGAATGCGCGAAGGTCGCGAACGGCTGTTGTTGAGGTCTGACGGACGATGGGCTGGACTGAGATGAGGGTGATGCGATACGCGCTCCGGGTGCCGTGAGTGGATGACAACCGCGCGCTAGTCCGGAAACGGCCAAAGCGTGGTGCAAATATAGCCCACAACGGTCGCTCATCCCGGCAGCGCCGGCATCACTGTGCGGTAGGGCTGTGCCTCTACTCGCTCAACCCCTGCGGTTTTTTTCGCTGATGCTACTGTCGGGCTGCTCACGCTATCGACAGCTCGTACGTAGAGCGGAGCCCTTCACATGGCGAGATGTTACTTCGTGTTGACAAAGTGGAGACGGCATCGACGTCAGCCATCATGGAAGCGTATAGACTCTGGGGACTACGGTATATAACTTTCGTGCCATCTCAACTATCATACTCATCCACCAACCATCACCTTCGCTTTCATACAGTTTTCCTACACCAACACTCGCTACGGTGTACTCACAAAAGTCTTCTAATACTTAATACCATCTCGACAACTTCCGGATCAATCACCTAGGATTCAAATCAGCAATACCATCAAGATGCGTTACTCTTACGTTGCTGCTACCCTCGTCGGCTCGGCCTTGGCCATGCCTCAATACGGCTACTCAGCGGTTGTCCCCACTGGATACCAGCCTGCACCAACTTCTTCAAAGCCGTATGAAGCAGCATCCACTCCCAGTGCTTACCACGCCTCGACTCCCTCTTCCAAGCCGTACGAAGCGTCCACACCCAGCAGTGAGGTTCACTACCCAGCCAGCACACCGGTCTACGAGGCATCCACTCCTGCCGCAAGCTCATCGGTATACCATGCTTCGACTCCAGTCTACAGCGCGTCTGTCCCCGCCTACAGCGCCTCCAAGCCCGCTGAGAGTTCGTCGGTCTACCACGCCTCCACCCCTGTCTACAGCGCGTCTACTCCCATTTACAGCGCTTCCAAGCCAGCTGAGAGCTCGTCGGTGTACCACGCCTCCACCCCGGTCTACAGCGCGTCGACTCCTGCAGTGAGCTCGTCCGCATACCACGCCTCCACTCCGGTCTACAGCGCTTCTGTCCCCGTCTACAGTGCTTCCAAGCCTGCCGAGAGCTCCCCGGTCTACCACGCTTCAACTCCCATCTACAGTGCCTCCAAGCCTGTCTACAGCGCATCTCACCCAGCCTACAGTGCTTCCACCCCCGTCTACCACGCTTCTTCCTACGGCACTGGTTACGTCAAGCCTACTCCTAAGCCTTCATCGGCTGTTGAGTACCCCCACGGCGACGTTACGACCACGCTCACCTCCACCCACACAGCTTGGGTGCCATGCAGCACCTCTGTTGGCCACGGAGAGCACTCCAGCGTCATCTACTCAACCTACTTGACCCCAACCTACAACACTGTCACTGTGACATCGACCATCCACGGCTCGAAGCCCACATCTGACATGCCCGTTTACCCTGCTGAGACTCCTTCGGCCCACCAGCCCACTTACCCTGCTGGAACTCCTGAAGCTCCTAAGCCCACGTACCCAGCTGGTACCCCCGAGGCTCCCAAGCCATCCCACCCAGCCGAGACTCACCCCGCTGGAACTCCTGAGGCTCCCAAGCCAACCTACCCAGCAGGCACCCCCGATGCCCCCAAGCCCACATACCCCGCTGAGACTCACCCCGCTGGAACTCCCGAGGCCCCTAAGCCAACCTACGCTGTCGGTGTCCCTCCCGCTCCTCAGTGCCCTGCCCAGGTCACTGTCACCAAGACTGAGCACGTAGTCGAGACCAAGACCGTCACTGTCGGTGGAGCTTACACTCCCGGCCCAGCCCCTTCTGCCTACCCCGAGGGTATGAAGCCATCCACTCCTGCGGAGCACTACTCGGAGGCCCCTAAGCCATCAGAGTCCGGAAAGCCATACCCAGTCGGCCCCAAGCCTTCAGCTTCCACCAAGCCCTACCCTGTTGGTCCCAAGCCTTCTTCTGAGGTAAAGCCTCCCTACCCTTCCTCCGGTAGCTCGATCCACTACAGTGCTTCGTCCGCGCCTTACCCAATCCACACTCCCTCCTCCTCCAAGGCCTACCCCACCGCGTACCCTACCGCTTCGTCATCCACTAAGGAGTACCCGGCTGCCACCCCCTCTTCCTCCAAGGGCTACCCAGTTGCCACTCCCTCTTCTTCCACCAAGGAGTACCCAGCTGCTACCCCCTCCTCGTCCACTAAGGAGTACCCCGCTGCCACCCCTTCAAGCTCGGCGGCTCACTACCCCGTGAACACTCCTTCGTCCTCGAAGGTGACCCCCCAGCCCACCGGCTACGTCGCCTACCCCCACTACTAAGCTACTCAGGTAGCTTGAGCAGTTTCTCTTCACTTATCAAGCAAAGATTTTGGGCGGCATAGGTGTTTTGACGGCAAAACAATTGCTGTAGCTCTTCTGTCTTGGAGCCTTCATTCCCTCGCCTTGTATAGCTCCAGCGTTTTAGTTCTGCTTTATCATGGGTTTCACGCGTTTGGGTTCTCCTCTTCAACTGTTTATATTGAACGAACAACTGGTATAGAATGGTTATGACGGGTACGAGTTTAGTAGTAGTAGACAGAAATTATGACCAACTTTTGTCACTCCTTCAAAAGTACTTGCTCATCTTTCCTCGTGAACACGCAGTGGCTTCGAAGCATGTGCGACACCAACAAACAGCTCTAGCACCCAATGACGTCAGCAAAACTACTCACACAATATTTCTCAGATACCAGCACTGGCTGGCGCAAAAGAGCCAACAACGCGCTTATGCACGTACGATCAATCTATGCAACCCCGTACTCGTGTTACCAGCGACGTTGCCGCATTCGGCAGTCTTCCCGCGCAATCGATAGTCTATCTCGTATCAGTGCACGCGAACATTTCTTTCACATCGTCAACCCACGAACATGCATCGTGAAATTGCGCATGATGGCTTTCATCAAATCCTGCGATAAGACACTGCGGGTGACTCCGTATTTCTGGATATGAGACGAATGACCGACATTTGGCACCGACATGCTCAAAACTTGCTCATCCAAGCAAGCTTTCATGTTGAGAGACTTGTTGGGCTAGTCGATGGAGCGGGATGACTGCATGCGATGGCCTGGATGGGCACTGTTCTTTGTCATCGGCTGTCGCAAAGGCTTGTATGTGCTAGGGTGTAGCGAATACTCGCTGAAGTTTGTCGGCTGGACGGCAAGTCTAGACAGACTCAACAAGTTTACTAGTAAGAAACACACTAGGAGACGGCTTTATTTCATATCTTCTTCAGCGATCAAGATAGGCAGAAGGATCGAGGGTTGTAAGTAGAATACTTTTGTAGAGTAATGGCTTACGGCAGACATCAGAGAAGATGGCGCACTAAACGCCGTCGAGCGCGATAAGCGTTTGAGATGACTGGTAGAAGGGAGATTCAGTTGCTTTGCGGCATTGGACTACACTTCTGGTCAGTCATCCTTTTACTCATCTCCGTTCTTTCCGTCTCTTGCAAACTCTATATCAATGACACTGATGATGCTTACAAGCTCCTACCATATAATAGAGATAAAAGTTTCAGGGGGAGGTCTCCCACAAACTGCAATCAACGGTAACTCGGGTCGATGCCCTTTCGTGTCTTCGGTCCTAGACATGTAAAAGAGCTAGCCGTATCATCGAAATAGTAGTGCGTAAGCCCATCAGGATGCAACCAGTTGTGGTTTCGTTATACCGAGCGTGAGATGCTACGTCCAAGAAACAAACCAGAAAACTCGGCTTGCACAATAATCCTGGGGGGAACAAAGCCTTGACGTCCTGGATCATGGCGCGAAGACAGGTAAAGTTGATGGGCGAAGACTGATTCGATTGAGGAATCATTCCTATGACCGGGTCCATGTCATCATATCGTCGCTCCGAGATGAAGATAACCCAGTGCATTCGTTGACACAGATACAAAAGTAGTTGTGACTTGACTGTCTGAATGTCGCAAGGCTGAGTGAGGTCGTGAGGATGGAATGAGGCAACGAGGGCCTTCCATGTCGCCCGTGCGTCATCGCCACGATTTCCCCAGCCTCCACTAGCGCCCTTTCGTCGCATCTGTATCGACATTCGACGCGCCAGATGTCGCCCTGAAGTGCGCAAATCCGGCGCGTCCATCTAGCGCAACCGCAGAATCAGCGCGAACATATCACGACACACTCCAAACATGGACGATCCGTCTTCACAACTCCACCTCGAGATTCGCGACGCCGTCGTTCGCGCGCTCGCAACGCGCCGGCCCATCCTCCACCACCTGAACGCCGATTCGTCTTGGCTGCTTCAGATACCGCGCCCAGCAAACGCCGTCAAACACGGGAGCCGGGTATACTACAATGTCTTGATAGATCCGTGGTTCGTCGGTGGGCAGAGCGATGTCGCGAAATGGTTCAGTCAGCAATTCCACGCGACGGAGAGCGCCGTGAAGAGCATTGCCGAAGTAGAGGAGTTAGCACGACAAGTGGAAATAATGGCTGGAGGACTGCGACTAGGCAGGGGAAGAAGCAAAAAGAGGAAGGTGGAAGAGGTGGATGAGGAGAGTTATGTGGACTGTGTGGCTGTTAGCCACGACTTCACCGACCATTGCCATAAGGAGACGCTTTTAGAGGTTCATCGTGATGTGCCTGTGCTCGCGACAGAGGTATGTTCTCATACGGCATGATCAAAGGTAATTTGAGCTGACGAGTACCGCAGCAAGCCGCCAACCTCATATCCTCTTGGAACCACTTCCGCACAGTAATAACAACACCCACCTTCGCCGACCACTCCGACTGGCACGACTACAGTCTCTCGCCACTCCCCTCATGGCTCAGCATATCGCGACTCACAGCGTCCGGAGACTCTCTCTACCTCCACTCCGCGCTCCTAATAACCTTCGCCACGCATCCCTTCCTGTCGACAGCGACGCCTAAGAAGCGTCTCTCTACACTCAGTATAAATGGCGACGGAGCGGAAGAACTATCGTCTAACATCAACGGCGAGGAAGCGGAATGTGTAATTTACACACCACATGGCATCCCTCACGAAGCCCTCAGCCCCATCGCCACAGCCGACCCACCACTACATACCCTCGCTTTCCTACACGGCCTCCACGATGTCTCTATATCCTCTGCCCAGCAACTCAACCTTGGCGCAAAGAACGGCATCCTCGCACAACGCATACTTCGAGCAAAGTACTGGGTCGCAACACATGACGAGGTGAAGAAAGGAGGAGGCCTGATAAGTTGGTTCCTCCGCCGAAAGGTGTGGACAGTGGAAGACGCATTGAAAGAGGCCAGAGCACAAGATGGGGATGTCTTTGAGGATGTGCACTTTCAGGGTATGAAGAATGGAGAGAGTAGGGTTTTGGAGTAATAAGCACCGTTTCTTTGGAGGGAAGGCGAAGATTGGCTGTAAGTAATTTGTTTTGGTCCCGAGTATATACCCAATTTCGCGAAGCAGGGCCGAATCAAAGGCATTTTCCAGATCATCGACGTATGCAACACACTCGCAGTACTCTTCCACGTCAACCTAGAGAAAAGCTAAACTGGTCTGCAGCCTACGTTTTTGTGGTTACAGCCTACATCAACATGAAAACATGCAAAGTAGGAGATCTAACGTCGATGTAGGCTCTAGGCCTGTCCGGTTCTCTTCTTGTTTGAGGTGCTTCCACTGGCTGAGGGCGTAATCACTACCGTGGGCTCAGATCAAAGTTGCTTCGCACAAGCCCGCAAGCTGGCCCCGGATCCTCTGCCTCCACTTCCCCTTTCGCTATTTTCTCTTCGAGAATTCTTCGTTCCTCGTTAAATCGATCTTTCTCTGCCACACGCTCGTTCTTAGTGCTTGGAGGTGGTAAAACACCAGGGAGTGGATTGAACCATTGTCTAGAGAAGTCATCAGCTTATTGCCACGTCATACCGCCAACACTTACTCCTTTGGCGTATTCCTGCCATCCACGCCACGGAAGCGGTCTTCGGTCGCCTGACTCCAGTCGTGTCGATCAAGGTACGCCTTTAATAGGAACGGTGACATGGGCTGTGCATCATAGACCTCTATACCAGTTGGCTCGTCATCCGGTCCTGGCATCCAACGAAGGGTCCTGCAGATGCCGTCACAGCCTATTTGGCGGAAGCACTTGAGATCTGCTGGGCGCTTCATCGTTGCGGAGAACTCGGCGAGCGCAGCTCTGGCCTTGGACGGGTTGGTAGAGCCCGCTTCGTGGACGCCGGTCTTCTATGGATGGGGTTAGCTCTGCCTGTGGTGAGAATCTGCTTGATTGGCGTACGCTCTCTTCAGGTGACGATGAACCTTGTACCTGCGGGGGTGAATGAGGTTGTGGTGCAGACATGCTGGTATGTAAGATTATCGATGCTGTTGAACGCAGAGATGAGGGGCGTTGCTGTGCATGTATGTATTATAGCCTGCGTGAACAACGGTAATCAGGCTAATGCCAGTGTAATACTGAGCTTAGAAGAAGTTCTAGGCTGCGAGTTGAAGCTATTGCGGCACAGGCGCACAAATGAGGGGAATGTATTGGCTTTATGTGGGCAGTGCTTACTTTCTTGCTGAGTATGACGTATATGGCAGTACGGGTAAACTACCTTGTGCATGTTTGCATCAAGTAGCTACCTGATCGCGATGAGACAAAGCCATACAAGTATTTGCAAGTTTGCTGGCACACAGACACGAAGATACACTACCTGCACCATACTACTTAGCCATCCTTCCTTGCTCATCTCGCCTCTTCACTCCCGCAATGAAGCTCTCAGTTGTGATGTACACCAGCGCGACTTTCCTCTTCTCAACAGCCACGCAAGAACAAGTGAGTGCATCTAGAAACACCCACTCATCATGCGTATACTCTTGTACTGAAGCAAACGCTGTAGTCTCTCCGCGAAGTACTCCGATCTCTCAATACCGAAACAAACGGTATGACCATGCTAGGACAAGACGGAGTCCTTCGAAGGCTCAACCCTGCTCATGACACTGTCATGGACTACGTTCAACTCTCGCCACGACACCTAGCCGAGTACGTCGCAAAGTACCCACCCGAGGCACGTGAAATGTGGGCGGGCATCGATGGACGCGCAGTTACGTCTGACGCACAGCTGTGGGCTGTCCCGAGCGACGTCATGCCCCGAGACCCAAGCGCCTTGGTTACTGTACCGCATGCCAGTTCGCTGTTGAAGAAGCAGGAGAACAACTGCCGAATGTGGACCTGTACAGAGGACGATGAGTGCAAGGCTGAACACCCCGGATGCAATTCATGCGATGAATACTATGAGTGTGTTGGGGGATCAGGAAGTTGTTCCAGGCTCGTCAGGTGCGATGATACTTTGCCGCCTAGCATCGAGTGAGCAGCTGAATCTGTTACTCAAAACGATGGTATTGACCTGTTTAAAAAAAAATCATACACCTGTCAGAGGATGCACGTGAACGTTTAAATATACCCAGGTACCTAGGTAGTGTTTGGAAGATAGCGCGACTAATGCGCAAATGCATATTAAGGAAGAAGGCTCATAGTATACTACATGAAGATCAAGATCCCATTTTTCCATCCATCGTCGCTTCGCATAAAAGAAAACAAATCAAGAGGGGCTCCTTGCCACCAACGCCATTACTATGCAATGCTCATCTCTCTGTGATGATGTTCCAACAAGCCCGAAGTAAAGGGGGAATGAAGAAGGTAGTCGCTGGGGGAAAAACAAACAATGTCGCCAATCTTGTGGGAATATATAGGTACACGTGTATGGAGGTGTCAACGGAAACAGGGGTAAGGTGAACAAACAAATGCAAACAAAGTGATCGAATCCGTGGATGCAGGTGATGAGCTAGACGCTCAACCCCACGGTTCGTAGAATGGGTATGAATGTCGACATGGACAAGGTCGCTTACTGCGATTTAGGTACACACTCTGTGTACTTCGCTGCGAGTTCCTGTGCGATCTCAGGCGTCTTGACTGCGTAAAGAACAGACTGGAGTCCGCCTTCCTTGGCAGGCTTGGTCGCCATGACCATCTTCTTGCTACCGCCAGTGACGGTGGCAGGCAGCGCAGGTAGGATCTGGTAGTTGACTGGGGTGGCACCGCTGGGGATGCGCACTCGCACAGAGCATTTGCCCGTCTGTTTGTCCTTGAGGATCCAGAGCGGGCCCTTTGCTATGTTCGTCCAGCCCTTCTCTCCCTCCTGGTGTTTGGCGAGTACGACTTCAGTGTGGAAGACAATGTCGTAAGTGTTGAGCTCATCCTCAGTCAACTTGGTCAAGTCAATCTGTTCTTGCTTGCCGCCCTCTTCGTCATCTTCTGCTGCAGACGCGGCACTGGTATCGCCAGCTTCAGAGAGAGGCGTGTTTGCGCGCGAAGAGAATACAGACGAGGTCACAGAGTTACCACCGGATGGAGCGAAAAGCGAAGATCCACCTGTGGACGGGGCGAAATTGAAGATCGAGCTGGGTGGTGGTTTCGCCGGCGTTGTGGAGAACTCGCCAGCACCAGGCGTAGCAGGCTGGAAGTTAAATTTAGGTGCAGTGTCCTTCTTCTCAGTAGCAGGAGCTCCGCCAAACTTGATCGGAGTACCCGCCTTGAAAGTCTGATCGCCGGCAAACGTGTCGGTCTTCGGCGGCGCGGTCTTGGATGCAGCACCGAAATCGAAGAACTGGAAAGGTTTGTTGGAAGGAGTTGAAGTACCGTTACTCTGTCCAAACAGAGAAGAGGCGCCACTGTTCTCCTTCTCTGCCTCGGAATCATTATCCCTGGTGATCCTTGAGAACAAGCTGCCCTTGGAACTTGACTCCTGCTGATTGTGCTGTTGGGTATCTTCGGATTCGGTCTCCGATGCATCGACCGAGCGCTTCGGAGGCGAAGGCGGCTCTGCTGACCCAGCATTGTCTTGTTGTTGGTCGTCGTCATCCGACTCTTCCTGGTTGCTGGAAGAAGGACCTGATAGGTGGCCGAAGATATTGGGGGATGATGCTTGCGACGTGGAGGCGTTGAAAACCGATTGACTGCCTGTAGACGGCGCCGGGCTGGGAGCTTTGGGAGTGGAAACTCCGCTCTTAGGCTTCAAAAGTCCAGTGAACGGGTTCTCCTTGGGTGAAGTACTTCCAGAAGTACTACCAGGTAACACGAATTTGGTCGAGGCAGCAATCTCCTTCTCCTTGGCGAGACGGTCAGCCTCAGCCTTGTCGTACCTGGCAGACCACTCCTCCTTGGTCTCATCATCTGAGTCGTAGTCCTCATCCATAGCCTTCCTCTTGCGTTCTGCGGCGAGTTCCTCGTAAGTCTTCGCGGTCTTAGTGAACTGAGCCATAAAGCCGCCTGCCGGAGCACTGCCGAAGTTTGGCTTGAAACCAGCAGAACCTGATGTACTGGTGGAGGAAGCACCGAAGCTTGGCTTGAAGCCAGACGAGGCTGCCGAAGTTTCTGCACCGTTAGTGGTGGGAACTGAGGGCTTGAAACCGAAACCGGGAGTCGATGCAGCTGGCTGCGAGGGCTCGGTGGCGGACTTTTCAGCTGTCTTTGGGGCGAACAGGCTTGTCGATGACGCTGGCGCAGGTGTAGAGGGCTTGTTTCCGATCGCCTTGGCAAACATGTTTGATGTCGCCGTGGCTGGGGCACTGAGCTTCGGTGTAGAAGCCGAGAGCTGCGGAGTCGGACCAGCAGATGCTTCCGTCGCACGAGCTCGCTTGGAAGGGGATGGATCGCGGACTTCGTGGCTGTCATCGTTGACCTTGCGCTTCGTGGACAAGCTTGATTCATTGCCGGTGATACCTCGTCCGGCTGCACGTTGCTTCTTCACGTTGTCGATCTTCTTCTTAATGTCGACCGCATGCTGGTAGTGCCAAAGCGACACGCTTGACCAGTCTGCCGTGGGAGGAAGGTTGCTCAGCTGTTGTCGGTACTTTTCGTTCAACATTTGCAGTTGAGCAGTCAGATCAGATATCTGCTTCAGTAGGCCATCGCTGCTCTGCGCGCGAACGGCACCTGGAACAGCCCAGTCTTTGGGAACGTGCACCTTGGGAACCTTGGGCATCTCAGATGCCTGCGATTCTCCCCTCGACTCGGAGGTAGTACTGTTGAAGATCGATGTGGCCGGCGCAGGGGAGGGTTGCGAGGGTTCCTTCGAAGCGCTGAACAAGTTGGGACGATCTGTCGAAGGTTTGGGCAAAGAGGCAAAGGGGTTGGAAGCCTCAGGTGCAGCCTTGGGTGTTTCTGATGCCGATGTCGATGCAGGGGGGAAGCTTGACTGTGGCTTTTTGAACAAATTGTTGGAATTGTTGCTCTCGGGCTGGAACGTTTGGGAGAAGAGGCCAGAGCTGGTTTTGGGTTGAGCAGCAGTGAAAATGCCCCCTTGAGACTTCTCCACGTCGGTTGTCTTCGCTGGCTGTGGTGTGCTGAACGGCTGGAATAGACTTGACTTTGGCGCTTCGGGAGCCTTCACTGTTGCTGCGCCCGCATCCTTGTTGGCACCAAATATGCTGAAACCTGAACTGCTTCCTGTAGTGGTAGGTGTGTCGGCTGGCTTGGGAAGTGCCGCGAACGGGTTGGACTTGGGGGTATCGGCAGAAAGGCTGCTGCCAGACTCTTCAGGCTTCTTGAGGCTGCTGAACAGGTTCGTTGGTGCAGCTGCTCCAGAAGACGTGTTCTCGGCGGTCGGGAGGTTTGCGAACGGATTGCTGGACGGAGCAGAACCAAAGAGGTTTGTTGGAGGGGCGCTTGACGTCGTGCTGTTAGACTTCTGCGCATTCGCGCCGAAGTTGAATAGATTCGACGCAGGAGCGGTGGCCGTAGCATTTGGCGTGCCTTGCGCGCTCGTACCCAAGCCTCCAAAGAAGTTGTTCTGCTTGGGCGTTTCCGAGGTACCCTCCGTCTTCTGTTCGTTGGAACCGAAACCACCAAACATGTTGTTTTGGGGCGCAGCCGCCTGCTTGGAGGCATCTTCCTTCTGCGCATTGGCACCAAAGCCGCCGAACGTGCTTGGTTGTGAAGGCGCCGTAGACTGTGTTGAGTTGCCAAATCCGCTGAAGATACCGCTCGTCGCCGGCGTACTCGCGGTGTTCGAGGCTGTGGTCGTTGCGGCGCCGAACGTGAAGGGTGTGGATGCGGGAGCGGCGGTGCTCGTAGCGTTTGGGGCGCCGCTGGTGGTGCCAAACATGCCACCGGGGGCAGCATTCGATGTGCCAAACATACCACCTGAGGTCGCAGCGCTAGATGTACCAAACATTCCGCCGGAAGAAGCGGCGGTGGATGTACCGAACATACCTCCTGATGATGGTGCAGCGCTCGACGTTCCAAACATGCCTCCAGTAGGCGCAGCGCTGGACGACCCAAACATACCGCCTGTGGGAGCT